TGGCCATCAGTGTTTTATTTATATAGAATGATATCCACAGCACTCAGAGACTGGAGGGGAACTAGATTGGAGGACTAGAAGAGAGAACTGGAAGAATGAGAAAGAAGATGAGGAAGAGCCAGGTGGGGTAAGAACAAGATGAGGAAGAACCAGATGAGAAAGGAGATGGAAAGAACTAGATGGATGAGAACTAGATGGGGCAGAACCAGATGAAGGCATTAAGATAGGACTTAGACGGAACAGCAGAAAAAAAATGTAGAGAGAAATCAGGCAAGAAAGAAGCTAAATCAGAGAGCAGAACAGAAGCTGTGTAGAGAGAGAACTGATTCAGAAGAATAAAGTGAATGGACTAAAGAGTTTCATGTATGGGGTTTATTCGCTTATCCCTCAGATTAGTTAATCCACCACTGGTAGCATCTCTTCTGGAACTCTGGGAAAAGGCTGTCAAGGCCTTATCAAGGACCAATAATCTTTGTTAGAAGCCACTTGGCCACTCTGGAAAGCAAGTGGGTAAATAAAAATGTAAAGTTTCTACAAATGTGAATTAAAAATGTTTGGTCAGTTCACCTTCACAGCCCCTTCAGGCTTGACCAGTCAGCTCTAACAAGGAGGAACAACCCTGCTTTCATAACCATCTATTTCCCTGGTGCACTGGTTACCTTATTCCACAAGGCCTTCAGGAGACTCTGCCTTCCTTCTATCAGTAAATTCCTTGCTGTGAGTCCAAAATCTAAGGTAGGGCTAGGCTTCTAACCCAAGCGGACCAGTTAGTAAGCCACAGCAATGTTTCAGTGATTACCAAAGAAAGCATTCGGAAGCTAACAGTGAGAAGAGAGGAGGCTGTGACGTGACGGGACGGGACGTGACGGGACGCTTCTGAGGTATTCCTAAAGCCACAGAGTATTCAGGTACTTGAGGCAAGAAAGTCCTGGTTTTGTCAGCCCTACTGTGTTGGTGCTTTCTCTCTGTTGATTTGTAAGAGTCACAGCTGTGCACTGTTGGAGGATGGGCAATTTGTACAAAGAAGAGAATTTGTAGTGGAGGGAGCTGTCTGGATGTCTGGAATCCTGGCTGGGAACCACCGGTTTACTGGTTTGGAAGGAAAGGCAGTTAGGCATCAGAAAGGACAAGCACTGAGATGCAGTTGTCAAAGGTTTTGAAAGTCCCTAGGACATCAGAGTTGATGGTGTGAACTCAGGTTCCCTGGGTGTATGTGGGGTGGGGCATGGCGGGCGGACGATGCCCATGTTGAAGATTCTGCAAGGCTGATTGAACGATGAGAACTTCTTGATGCAGAGAATTGGAATGTTACATATCTAGAGGCAAACTCTCCTGGGCTGTGTCCGCCCCTAGTAGCCATTGTTGCCTACTTCTGTGTCCGACCTAACACATGGTCAACTATGAAGCAGAACGTTCGGAATAAATCACCTTTGCAGCGTAGTCGCTTCTCCTAACCCGAAGCTAAGGATATTACCAGCAAACGTCTGAAATCCACAGCAGAATTTTCTCTACTTTCCTGTAAGCCACCTTGCTTTAATATATATATAATAAATTATATATTACTTTATGTGTATGAATATTTTGCCTGTGTGTATGCCTGTGAACCAGGCCTGGGGAGGTCTGAGGAGGGTATCGGATTCCTGGAACTAGAGTTAAAGACAATTGTGAGCTGCCATGTAGGTGCTGGGAATTGAACTCAGGACCTCTGGAAGAACAGCAAGGGCTTTTAACCTCTGAGCCATCTCTCCAGCCCTGTAACCCACCTTTCTAATGTCCTCACTGATGTATTTGGTAAACGCTTTTCTCT